TAGTAGTAGTAGTAGCAGTAGTAGTAGTAGCAGTAGCAGTAGCAGTAGCAGTAGCGGTAGTAGGAGTAGTAATATTATCACAGATGTAGTAGAAAAGATACTAATCGTAAAATTGATTAAATTATAATTGGTAAAAGTAGTAGTAATATCCGTCGTAAAATATGAATTTCTTGAAAAAATTTGAATGCGACGACACGCGCGGAACCCGCAGAGAACAACATGCGCGAAACGCAGACGCGCATAACGTGCGGAACCAGCGCGTACTATTACTACTAGTAGTAGTAGTAGTTGTTGTTGTTGTTGTAGTAGTGGTAGTAGTGGCAGTAGTGGTAGTAGTGGTAGTAGTAGTAGTCGTAGTAGTCGTAGTAGTCGTAGTAGTCGTAGTAAGTAGTAGTAAGTAGTAGTAAGCAGTAGTAAGCAGTAGTAAGAAGGAGTAAGCAGCAGTAAGCAGCAGTAAGCAGTAGTAAGTAGTAGTAAGTAGTAGTAAGTAGTAGTAAGTAGTAGTAAGTAGTAGTAAGTAGTAAGTAGTAGTAGTAGTAGTAGTAGTAGTAGTAGTAGTAGTAGTAAGTAGTAGTAAGTAGTAGTAGTAGTAGTAGTAGTAAGTAGTAAGTAGTAGTAGTAGTAAGTAGTAGTAGTAGTAGTAGTAGTAGTACGTAGTAGTAGTCGTAGTAAGTAGTATAGTAGTTAAGTAGTAGTAGTAGTAGTAGTAGTTAGTAGTAGTAGTAGTAGTAGTAGTAGTAGTAGTAGTAGTAGTAGTAGTAGTAGTATAGTATAGAAGTAGTAGTAATAGTAGTCAGTCGTCGTCGTCGTAGTAGTAGTCGTCGTCGTAGTCGTCGTCGTAGTAGTAGCAGTAGTCGTCGTAGTAGTAGTAGTAGTACTAGTAGTAGTAGTAGCAGTAGTAGTAGTAGTAGTAGTAGTAGTAGAGTAGTAGAGAAGTAGAGAAGTAGAGAAGTAGAGAAGTAGAGAAGTAGAGAAGAAGAGAAGAAGAGAAGAAGAGAAGTAGAGAAGTAGAGAAGTAGAGAAGTAGAGAAGTAGAGAAGTAGAGAAGTAGAGAAGTAGAGAAGTAGAGAAGTAGAGAAATAGAGAAGTAGAGAAGTAGAGAAGTAGAGAAGTAGAGAAGTAGAGAAGTAGAGAAGTAGTAGTAGTAGTAGTAGTAGTAGTAGTGGGAGTGGGAGTGGGAGTGGGAGTGGGAGTGGGAGTGGGAGTGGTAGTGGTAGTGGTAGTGGTAGTGGTAGTAGTGGTGGTAGTGGTAGTGGTGGTAGTAGTAGTAGTGGTGGTAGTAGTAGTAGTAGTAGTAGAGAAGTAGAGAAGTAGAGAAGTAGAGAAGTAGAGAAGTAGAGAAGTAGAGAAGCAGAGAAGTAGAGAAGTAGAGAAGTAGAGAAGTAGAGAAGTAGAGAAGTAGAGAAGTAGAGAAGTAGAGAAGTAGAGAAGTAGAGAAGTAGAGAAGTAGAGAAGTAGAGAAGTAGAGAAGTAGAGAAGTAGAGAAGTAGAGAAGTAGAGAAGTATAGAAGTATAGAAGTATAGAAGTATAGAAGTGTAGAAGTAGAAGTAGAAGTAGAAGTAGTAGTAGTAGTAGAGAAGTAGAGAAGTAGAGAAGTAGAGAAGTAGAGAAGTAGAGAAGTAGAGAAGTAGAGAAGTAGAGAAGTAGAGAAGTAGAGAAGTAGAGAAGTAGAGAAGTAGAGAAGTAGAGAAGTAGAGAAGTAGAGAAGTAGAGAAGTAGAGAAGTAGAGAAGTAGAGAAGTAGAGAAGTAGAGAAGTAGAGAAGTAGAGAAGTAGAGAAGTAGAGAAGTAGAGAAGTATAGAAGTATAGAAGTATAGAAGTATAGAAGTATAGAAGTATAGAAGTAGAAGTAGAAGTAGAAGTAGAAGTAGTAGTAGTAGTAGTAGTAGTAGTGGTGGTGGTAGTAGTAGTAGTAGTAGTAGTAGTAGGGGAAGCCGGCGGTAGGACGGCGCAAAAATGCACTGCATTGCTTGGTCATGAAACAAAAGCTACCACGCTTATATGGAATTACTGTTTGGGATCTACGGCCGCTGCTTTCTTGCTGTTGGGGATATTCTTTGGGCTTATTTTCTTCTTCTTCTTCATCATCATCATCATGATGATCAGCAGCATCATCAGCATCGGCATCAGCATCGGCATCGGCATCACCATCATCATCATCATCATCATCGGAAAATGGAAGTGGTTCTGAGTCAGGTATATTCCAACAACATCAAATCAGTATTTAATGCCTGCAATTTGTATGTGGGCTGGCAAGGAATGCGGTCACTTCCACCTACATCACTTGGGAAAACTTATGGCATAGGGTATAAGCTGGTTTGATTTGAGAAGGTTTGTGGGAACCGCCCAGGCTAGAAGTCAAATGGTTGGGGAGCCAAGAAACCATGGCGAGGTGTTCGCCACTTGACACCTGCAGCTGGTTGAAACCAGAATTGCTTCAGAATTTCTTTCAGTCGAGGCCCACCTCAAAAGCCAATTCCGTGACCTTTCGCCATATAGATCTAAATTTGGTTACAGGGGTATGCCATATATTCGCAGGATTTCACAAGATTCCCCACATTCTTTCTCAGGCGAAAACCTTTTGGCGTCTCGTTCCAGAGGTGCCTTGGCAGATTTTCCCTGTTGAATTGCAAAACGGGGTCATTCAATCAAGACCTTTGACAACTCAGGCAATCCCGAAATTTGAATAGCTGCCCTCACGCACTGGAACCTTGCAACCTTGAAAACCTTGGCGCCATCAACCGTGGAAATCCCTCAGTCAAAGTCTCTCCTGGTCATTAAAATTTTGAAGGTTGAAACGGCGCCCTGGAACCGGAACCTTTGAGTTCGCAGGTTTGCAATAGAGACGCCAGGATATGCTTGATGGAGGTTTCTTATACTTTATCGATGGAAGTTTAGAAGTCAAACTTCCGACAATATGGACAGATGGAAAAGCAGAGGTGGGAAGAGTCAGAGAGGAGAAGAGCAGAAGAGATAAGATCAGAGAAGAGAAAGAGTGAGAAGAAAGAAGATGCAGGTGCGCGAAAAGGTAGGAAAGTCGCGAAACACTGTGTTTTTCCAATGATTTGTGGCTCCGGAGGGTCGAAAAGTAGGCTCGCTAAAGCGGCGGGTGCGGAGCCAGCTGGCCAGATGAGAGATGAAAAGTTCCACGCCGTTGTGGCGCGAAGCAAATTTACAAGTCAAGATGTACAAAACACACCATGCTCGGAGCACTTTTCGAAGTTGTGCTGTTGAAAAAGTGCACGCCGTTGTGGTGCAAAGCACATTTCCAAGTCAAAGGGACCACAGCACACCATGCTCGGAGCACTTTTGGAAGTTGAGATGTCGAAAAAGTGTACGCCGTTGTGGCACGAAGCACATTCCGAAGTCAAAAGTGCAAAAAACGAGGGTACGGAGCACTTTTGGACGTTCAGATGTCGTTTTGCTTGGCAGGCCCAGGAGATTGTGCACCTTGTTAAAAGTGAGCAAAACGTGAGGGTTTTGTAGCAGTTAAAAAAACAATGGCAGGCGTGGGACATTTGAAGAGGATCTGGAAAGATGCGGTTCGCGTGGCAGGCACGGTACAAGAGACACATGAGGTAGATGTGTTAGGAGATCAGGGCGGAAATTTATCTGAGAGGAGTTGGATTTTGGGGCATGAGATCTTCAGGTTTGCTAAGATGATTTTGCGTGACAGGTGCAGCACTTCGTATGACCTGGCTTCACTTTTTCGTGGCAGGCGCAATACTTAGAGACATGGACTGGAAAAATCGCAAAACGCATTGGCACAGGCCTTGAGCTCTGCACTCAACTTTCCATTATTGAAGGAAGTCTCGCAGAATTGCTTCGTTTTTGATGTTGCCAACTTGAAGAATTGAGGAGGTCTCGCAGAATAGCTTCGTTTTTGACGTTGTCAAGTCTCGCAGAATAGCTTCGTTTTCAAGCTCGCAGAGAGACAGGTAGATAGATGGATGGATGGATAGATAGATAGATAGGTAGATAGATAGATAGATTGATAGACAACTACAACTACCACTACACTACAGCTACAAACTACAATTACAACTACAACTACAACTTCGTAACACTACACTACGCTAATTACAGCAGACTACATTACAGCTACAACTGCAACTACAACTACGACCACAACTACAACCACAACTACGCTACAACTACAACTACAACTACACTACAACTACAGTTACAGTTACAACTACAACTCGTACAGCTAGTGCAGCTACTACAATTACTACAATTAAGACAATCACAACTTCAACCACACTTCAACTACAAACTACAACCACAACTACGACATTACAACTTCAACAACATCAACCCCACTACAACTACAACTACTGCACTACACCACACTACATCCAGGAGTTGTGAACGAGGTGACCACTGCAACCATGGCAACCAGTCCAAAAAGCACAACTCCAACCACCTTTCGGTCCATCAGTGAATTCGCTCTGCCATCCGGGATTCAAAACAACCAACCTCTCCTATAGGTTTCCTATTTTTGAAACTTCCGCCACCGCCTTGTGTGGCACTACTGGGATTATCAAAGGAAGGTTAGAAGTCTAAACTCCGTTATACCGAAAATATGGCAGAGCAGGAATCAGTACATTACCACAACAAAATATCACCACAACGCTGCATCACCACAAGTTTTCTCGTATAAAATGATTCCCGGCGGCGATGTGGAGAACCTTGTTTGTGCGACGGGTGCGGCTGCCTCGCGCTCGGTTTGCACTCGGATGGCGCAAAAGTCGTCCCCATTGTCAGCGCTTCGCGGACCTGATCTTGTGTGTTTGAGCAGGCAGCAACAGTCTGATTTGCATCATTGATTGCCAATCGCAGTGGAATTGCTGGTTAGGAATCGCACGAAACCTTATGTTTTCTCCAAATGGCACAACCCACCGTGCCGTGCACGGCGTGCTGATTGTTGAAATATAGTTATATATGTATATTTTAACCATGTTTGTGCTGTGACTGGGCAGTTTGGAGGTTCGAGTTGATGCGCCCAGTTCTTGCTTCGGTGGCCTCGGGGTCAATAACCGGAGTACTGCTCACTCTTGCACGGGAACTCTCCAGCAATCCACTTCTTCAGCTTCCTCCTGCCACTGTCCCGACTATCTCTGAGGTCTGCTCTGCCTTGCCTCCTCTTCCTGAGACTTGGACTTTTGATTGGACTTCCTTTGGATTTGGCCTCCTCTGCGGCTCTTTGCTCCTTCCTCTGCTTGACCTCTTGCTCCTACTGAGGCTTGCTTGGATTAGAGCTTTGCGGCAAACCATTCCCAATCGTCCTGTGGGTCCTTTGCACCGTCTCATTGCATGAGCGTTCCCCGCTCTCTTCTTGATTCTCTCTGCTCTCAGATCCAGAATTTGAGTTTGCGAGTCGGTGATTTAGAAAGGACGGCAGACAGAGCGGAAAACAGATCTGAAACAGGAGGATCCAACAGTGAGTTTGAGTTGATTTCTGGAGGAGCCAGTGTAGCAGCGCAGCCTGCCAGTCCTAGTGCGACTGGTCCTGGAGAAGTCTTACTCTCCGACACAGAGGGTCGCAGAAAGCTGGCCGAAGGGATTGGCCGTTTCCTTTTGCGTTGCGTCAGAGGCGAGCACCGAGGAACCTCTGGCAGAGATCGTCTCAAGTTGCAGAACGGGCTCTACGTGATCCTGGCAGACTTTGAAGGAAACCTTTTGAGTGATCCTCAGGTTGAGTTCTCATTTGCTCCGGTCAAGGCTCTCTGCAAAAGAGGGGGGGGTCCAGGTCGAGCCATTTTTGTGGGATTTGCCACAAAGTGGGAAGCAAGGTAGCTCTGCAGACAGCTGGCCTCACGGTGCCCAGCTGCCTAAACAATGCCTGAGTTGCCGGGCCTCCCTGAGGAGGTCGCTGATGCTCTGCTGGTGTTGGAGGACGCCAGCAGTAGAGAGCAGTACGAGATTGGTAGCCTCACTTTCACTTCTGGGGCTGGAGAAGACAAGGTGATCAATTTGATTCCTATTACCATCATCAACGGCAAGTTGCTGGTGGCTGTTCCTTTGGGAGCCTGGCATAAGACTGCCGGCAGGAGATTGCTCCCCCGTACAGTATTTACCAAGGCTGTGAAAGTCGAAGTTTTGGCAGTGAATTCAGACGAGCCTTCAGAGTGCCTTGATGCAGCGCCGTTGAAGCTTCAACTTTTGTGGGCCTGGAGATGGGGGCAAGTCCCATCGCAGACTGCGACGTCAGCGATGTGTCGGCGGATGGCACGGAGGCCATCCCGTATGGTCCGGGCTTGGCGGAAGTTGCAGACCAGCATTTTGCTTTTCTCACTGCGGTGTCTGGAGTTCCCGACCAAGACGCGGGACTTTTGGCAGAGCGGCTGCGGAGGAGGAGGAGGAGACGGAAGTAGGGGAACGGCTGAAGTTTTTGGAGGGCTCTCTGGCGAAGATCCAGGAGAGTCTGGCACTTCTTGCACCCGTCCGGGAACCAGCTCCTGCCTTCACTTCTGCACGTCCGAATGCGGGCACCGCTCCTCGACCTTCAGCTTTGAGGAATGGAGCAAAGAAAGACAAGCCCGCTGGCAAAGCCACCTTGCTGCCTGGATTGGACCCGGCAGTTGTGAGTTCGGCAAGAGCTGCTGGCATTCCAGAAGAACAACTGCAGAACCTGTCTAAGTTGGTGTCCAAGTCAAATCAAATGGAGGATGCGCCTCTAGCGGGGCGGAAAAGGGCAGCTCCCACCAATGTGCTGAGCGAGACAGAGGAGGAAGACTTGGAGGAGGAAGAAGGAGATGCAGAAGAGTTGGTAGATCCCGAGGAAGGGAACCCTATGGAAAGAGCCGTAGTGCAGCTCACCCGCATCGTGGACAAACTGTCCAAAGGGAAAAGACAAAAAGAGCAAAGATGTAGAAGCTTTGCTAGATGGTGTAGAATGCGATGGAGCGGAGGCCAGCTCCGCGAGCGGAGGAAAGTCCAAGGCTGCAGTGTACAAGAAGCTGAAGGCTTGCCTGTGTACCGCACCATAGAGACCTTGATGGAGGAGGACTTCCATGCTTTGCGTCAGGCTCCTGGAGCCAGCAGCCAAGCCACCAGCTGGAGAGCTTGGCTGGAGCATCGCAGCAGAGTGGGGCACTATCCCACCACTGTCCGCTTCTGTTGGATCTTGGCGGGGATCTTGGATGCGCTCCAGACAGGGGCAACTGCGGAAGCTCGAACTCGAGCGGCGTTGGGGCTAGTAGCTGCAGATCAAGCAGCCTTGGACAACGGGTCTTGGCTCATGGCTCAAGAGGTCTTGATGGAAGAGCCCCCCCTATGAATTCCTTCAAGGACAAGTCCAATCCGGAGAGCTGGGAGCAGACCGCTTCCAAACTCATGGACGACCGGTGGTTGGATGTCCTGATGTGGAAGATCAAGAATCGAGATGCCTACCTCGAGTCATGAAAGCGGCTGGGGACGGGCAAGAAGGATTGGCAGACTCACCAAGACAGAGACAAGGAGCCTGCGAAGCCCAACAAGAGGAAGAAAGGCGGAGGAAAGGGAGATCGAAAAGGCGAAGACAAAGGGTCTCAGCACAAGGGGGCAGAGAGCTCCCAAGGCCAAAATCAGGGCTGAACGCCACTGCGGGCCATTTTGGCCCCAAGGTCCCTGGTGCAGGGGCCAGTACAGTGCATGGCAAAGGCATTTGGAATTCATCATTTGATTTTTTGACTTCTAGGTCGAAGCCCAGCAAAATTTGGTACTCTGAGCGAGTTGGTCGCGCTTCAGCGAAAGCGCCAGAAGGTGTGGTGTGGCCTATGCCCCTGCCTTTTCCAGAACTGCACTTGCCAGGCGGAAACCGGTCTCAATGTGACCTTGAGCGGAAGTTGGGGCTGAACTATGTGGTGCTGGTCTTGAACTCTCTGCGTTTTTCAAAAAGTCATGCCAGGCATTGGTTCAAAGCTGAACAAGGCTCAGTGGGGCGTGGTGCAGCGTTTGGCTGCGCACGTGGATGTTTGGAACTCAGAAGGCCCTGTGGGACCGGCTGAGATGGGGCGTTCTGCAGCAAAGATGGAGTCAGTTGAAGAAGTCCTTTCCAATCTCCTTCAGTTTGCTTCCTCTCAGCGCGTTGGGCTTCACTCTTCCGGCAGAAGAGCTCGCGCGCTGACCGCACGGACTGAAGCAGCTGAATCTGAAAGAGATGAAGGAGAGCCAAACTTTTCGGCTGTTCCGAGTTTTGAGGCTGAGACCCCCAGGAAGAGGCCCCAGTCTACAGAGGCTGAGACCCCCGAAAAGGACAAGGCGAGTGATGCGCCTGTAGGCAGCCTCACTCATTTGCAAGCTCCGGTTGCGAAGCAAGTGGAGCCTGACCGTTTTCAGTTTTGGCTGCCGCCCAGTTTTGACCCCTCCAATTTTTTGGATGACCACAATCGAGAGACCTTCCTCTACCCTCTCGATTGGGCTGACGAGCCTGATGTCGAGGCGCACCCAGTCCCACGAGTCCGTGTTTTTGCGGATGACAAGGAGAAAGGCAAGCTTTTAGAAGTTTTGGACAGTGGCAAGCGGCTTGGACTTTTGCCTGTGACCGCTGCCAGAATGCCTTTCAGAAATGGACTTTTCAGCATACCCAAGGTCGCCAAGCGCGACAGAATGGTGCTTGACGCTAGACCTCCCAATGCGCTGGAAGATGGCAAGGACTCAGATTGGATTCAGAGTTTGGGCTCAATCTCTCAGTTTCCGCACTGGTTTTTAGAAGAAGGTGAAGTTGCCAGAGTTTTCAGCGAGGACATTAGGGAGTTTTACCATGCTTTTGTGATCAGCGCGCAAAGGCTGCAGCCCAATGCTTTCGGCATGGAAGTCGAGCCCTACAAGGTGAAGCATTTGTTTTGTTTCCGTCCTTGGATGTGGAAACACAAGCGACTGGTCCCCTGCCTGAGCACTATGGCCATGGGAGATTGTAGAGCTGTCACTTCGCACCTGGGCTGCCTGCTGCGCGTCCCTGAGCTGTCTTTAGACTCCTTCATTTCTTTGAAGGGCCGTCCAGGCAGAGGCGACTTTTTGGCGGGTCTCATGATTGACGACTTCATCATGGTGGAAAAGAGCCGACGTGATGAGCCGCAGGAGAAGCTAAAGCAAAGCCGCTGCTCGCAAATTGTTGCAGAGGTGCGGAAACAATACGAGGAAGTTGGCTTGCCCAGACATCCAGGAAAAGCGGTTGAGAATGCCCTGTGCGCTTCTTTTTGGGGTGTAGACTTTGATGGAGAAGCTGGCACAATCCGACCAAACCTGCGCCGGTGCATTCCTGTAGCCTTCATTGTTCTGGAAATGCTGAAGTTAGGCTGCACCTCTGTCAGCTTGCTGGAGGTCATTCCTGGCAGTCTGGTTTCAATTTTTCAGTGCAGGATAAGGTTCATGTCTTGCTTGCAATATGTTTATGAGATGCAGAGAGGCCGCAGACAGCCTGATGTGCTGCGCATTAGTGAGGAGCTCTGTGATGAACTTGTGCAATGCATAGCACTTTTGCCGCTCACCTGCCTGGACATGAGGTTGAAGCCTTCTTCAAAGCTGATAGCCTCCGATGCCTCTCCTTGGGCCACCGCGGCTGTCTTCACTGACCTGACTGCTGAAGCTACGGCTGAGTTTCAGCGCCACACTCTGCAGAAGGGGATGTGGAACCGCCTTTTGAGCCCAGTTGGTGCGTACCTTAGAGAGAAAGGCCTACTGGAAGCTGAGTCAGAGCTTCCTAACCAGCAGGCCTACGACATGCACCCATTGTGGGAAGAGATAGTCTTGAGCAGTGAGTTTCAGCAGTTTGGAAAGACCAGGCGTAGAAAAGGCAGGCAGCATATCAACTTGGGAGAAGTAGCAGCCAATCTGGATGCTGAGGAGAAGCAAGGTGCTGAGGAGCCTTCTTCCTTTTATGTTCACCTTCAAGACTCTTAAGTTTCCCTTGCCTGCCTCATAAAGGGTCGCTCCTCTTCCACTGCAGTAAACCAGATGCTGCGCGAGTCAATACCGAGTCATGTCGTCAACAACAACCGCGCTTTTTATGGCTATGTGCGGTCAAAAAAGAACCCTTCTGATGCTCCTACGCGCTCGCAGCCTGTGCCTCAGCCGGTGAAAGAGCGTGAAAGCTGGTTGGAAGAAGCCTTGAAAGGTCAATTTGCAGCCTTTGATGAGTTTTTAGAGTCTGTGGGAATGGATTTGAAAACTGTTAGAGGTTTGCCTGATGCAGAGGAACTGTTGCAGCCATGCAATGTTGACGTCTCTAGCTCCAGCGTGAGACGGAAAGAGAGGCGAAGACACTGAGGAAAGAAGGGTCTAGAGCCTTACAAGCTCAAGGAAGTGACATGTCTTCTCCTGACCTTCATGCACCTCCTACTTGCGCTTCGTCCTCTCAGCTTCCTGCTCCTTCCGTTACTGCCTCTGACTCTGTCGACACTTGCCCTGCCGTCAGCTCTTTCCATGTGCAAAAAGGAATCAGCCAAAAGGTCAGAGAGCTGTTACTTTCTTTTGGCAGAGAACAGTTTGTCGTTTCGGAGTGTTTTGCAAGTTTAGAAGAAGCTTTTGACTCCGGCCCTGGCATTTTGGACTTGTTTGCCGGGAGTCGTGGTTTTTCGCGTGGCTGCGTCAGAGCAGCGCAGACTTGGACTTTAACCTTCGACATCTCTCATTCCTCTTCTGAAGATCTGCTGGACCCTTCCCTGCAAGAGCGCATTTGGACTTTGCTTAGACTAGGTGCCTTTGCAGGCTGGACCAGTGTGCGCCAGCTTTAGTCAAGCTGTGACGCCGCCCTGCAGAACCAAGGAGTACCCGGGAGGGGTGCCATGGGCTTCGCCGCTCCAGCAGCGCAAAAA